CCATATTTTATTCTTGTCAGGCTGCTAAAGATTTAGAACAGTGTTGACACCATCTTGAGACAGTAAACCTATGCAAACAGAACAAGGACATGTTTTAGATGAAGCAACAATTGAGCAATCTAAACTATTTTTATTAGTATTTTTGTATCTAACATCTGAATATCACTAAAAGGCTGTAGGTTTGTAATGTCCATCACAAGCCTAATTTTAATGTTCATTCCAAAGAGTGGAAACACAATTTTGCTATTCTTAGATTTAAAGGTAGGTCATAAGGAAAACTTTTTTCAGCTTTGGGACAATTCACTATTTTTATTACTGCTGCATAATGCAATATGACTACAACATGATTAAAACATCATATCTTAGGTCTTTTTGTGCAGGAGAGTTGAATAACTACCTGTTAAAAACATACATGCTATCTCCAGATGTTACGCTGGGTAGAGCACAAACATCCGTGTTAATAATCAATTTCAACAGATAGACAGATAGAGCAAAAAGTCTGGACACTTCTTTATATGCTCCCTCTGCTTGTTTGTCTTGACATCTGCCTAATATCTGCAGTCAGCGGGCTAACATAGACTACAGGGACAGATACAAATCACAAAAGCTTAGGCTCTCGTGACGAGAGACGACACCTTATCAGCAAATACAAACTGAGAGTTTAAAAGAAGCGACTGTTAAATTAACTACAAAAGCCAGAGCCAGCGAGACAGCCAACTGCGTCAGGTTGCATACCAACAGTGCATCTATTCACGTCACAGTTTACAGGACTGTTGGGACTCAGGTTACCTAATATAGGCAGCTATAATGTTTTTTATTACTTTTTGGCTGAAAGCAATCCTTTTGTGCACATTGTAATAAATCAAACTCCCAATCAGTGTTTACATTTTACACTACACAATTAATCCAATGTATCCTGCCATACCTGGATCCTTACCACTAGTCGTACAAAAAAATTTAAAGTTTGGCGACACAGGACAACCCAGTATCCCTCTGGAACTATATAGGAAGATTCTGGACCTCATGATTTACACCAACATGCAGTGCCAATGCAGACAGTTAGCGTGCTGTTTATGGAGCGAGGTAGAAAGTGGAGGTCTGGGTGTCGATGGGTGTGTAACACTTCCAACTTTTATTTAGGAGACCAAAGTGATCTGCAATTTACGTTTGTAATCAGTCACTTCCTAGCTTTTATCGAGTATTTTAGTTGCCTATTGTTAACCATATTATAACCATCTTTTAGTTGCCATTTGTAAAAAAGAAACAATAAAACAAAAATTTCTATTTTGCAGAATCGTCCAATACTGATGTTCTTGTGTGGCGATTATTATTATCATAAATCCTTTGGTGAACTTTGAGCTAAATATTAATTTATGTTAAAGTTAGAAGACGTTTTGTACGGTTTTGGCTTCAGTGGGGAAAGATTGGTTCAAGTTTGCTCCCCTGAGTAAATAAAGCTCAACAAAGAAGCAAAGTAAAAATCTACAAAAACCACATGTTTGTGGCTTTTTGTATTACTACTCTTAACAAAGTACCTTCTGCCCAAAACAAAGTGAGTGTGAGGCGATTTGCTGAGATCTCTACTTTGGGAGCCGCTGCTGTCTGGCTGTAGTGCTTATTTGTAGACGATCAAACCCGCTTCCTTCCACTATGTAATGTGTCCCACATGGATTTCCTACAGAGTCCATTAAAATGTAGCATAGTGGGGCGAATGAGGAGAGATGGGAACAGAGAAAAATAGGTGCCCTTCCTTTGCCTCAACATGCGGCTTTGATAGAAACCTCTGTCATGTTTCGGTCTATTGAGAGTGAAATGTGATTTGCGAAGTTCTGCCAAGCCTCTCGATCCCAATTCGTCTCAGAGATAGACACATTACAATTTTTGGGAGTTTTTTCCTTCAAGGAATTTAATTTAAACTTTTAGCCATCATGTTTAAAAGGTATTAATTGGATTCACCAAACAACTTCATACAGTTCCAGTAGAAGCCAAATATCAGTGTGAATTTTTTTAACTTTTGAGTGTTATTCTTGAGTTCCTTGTGAGAAATGACACTACCCACAACTTCTAGGAAACCTGTTGGAAAGGTTACCGTAAACCCACGTTTCCTCACTTTCTGCTGGATTATTTTATTTATCTGTAAAATAGATGTTACTTAAAGGCTCTTTTTACAAACAATGAGTGAAATTTCCATTTATGATGAATGTTGAAAAAGTTTTTCATAATTTTATCTTTCTGATCTTGTGCCAGCGTAGTTTTGTTTATGAAAACATACCTTCATTAGCTTACATAGCCGTCTATGTGGAGGAAGTACTCAGATCAAGTACTTTTACTCGAGTAAAAGTAGCAATACCACATTGTAAAGATATTCCACTGAAAATTCCTGCATTGAAAATATTAGTTAAATGTGCTACAAGGAGTTTTACTTATTATGAAGCAGTTTAATACTGGGGGCCTTTATATGACCTACATAAACAAACAATACCATCAATGAGAAGATAATGACTGCAACAGGGTCGGATTCGGTCGGAATCCCATTGAAATCACTTGAACGAGGCGATGGAAGCACAACCCCTTTTGTCCACAGGGGCCGCCAGAATCAACACAAACTAAAGGTTTCCTGTTGCTGTAGTAGTGCTGCTGAAGTAAAAGTATGTTTTATTTGGAAATTGTACTTAAAGTATCCAAATAAAAGTACTAGACAAGAAAAAATTATTAACAATGTATAATAAGCATTTTAATGTTGTAGTTGTTGATGTTGACCTAATTTTAACTATGAATCTATTGCAATGTACATAGGATGGTTACATTTAACCACTGGTTTTCTCAAGGTGTTTCATTCAACAATTGACCTACTTTTTATGGTCCTTTGTGGATATAGGCAGCATCTACGTATGTACAATATATCGGACTGTTGTGGTGCATGTAACAGACAAAAGATCATTTAGACCTAATCGTCATATTAAATAAATGAACCAGCAGAAGACAAAACAGGGTGCAGGCGGTTTTATTCAAGTAAAGCTAGTAAATCATTACCTGCTCCAAAAGGTACCTGTGCATTCAGATCACTGTTAAAAGTCATGCTGCTTAAATTACTGTAAGGAATAACCAATTCATTTCTTTTTTCTGAATATATACAGACTAACAGGAAAAACTATTCAGATTCTATAGTTAGGTAAATTAGCAATACAACACTGTAAAAGTTAATACAGGTCGATGTTATTATAAAATTAAATCATTACTGATGCTTTAATGGGTAGACAGTATTTTAATGTTGTAGCTGTCAAAGTTGAGCTCATTTTATTTGGGAAGTTAAATGTATAGAAATACATCACACTGACAAACAGATAATTTTGTTATATACAGTCTTAATCGGAAAAGTAACTAACTATAATTTAGCTGTCGGATAAGTGTGAAAGGTACAAAATATTCCTCTGAAATAAAGTGAAACAGAAACATAAATAAGCATAAAAGTACCACATTCTACCACTGATCTGAATCAAGTTTTGTTGTGATTTATCTCGTATCTGGTTGATTTGGAGTTTAAAGCTGCAGATATAGAAATTATATTTGGATGGGGAAAGGGAAATGTAGGTAGAAAACAGAGGACGGACATGTTTTGGATCTCTTTACATCCTTGATAAGTCCCGTCTGTTCCTTTGCTTCGTCTATCGTGAAGCTTTTATTGTCTCTCGGTGGGGAGGCAGCTCTCAGATCAGGTAGTGAGAGTTCTGTGTTATACTCTCTCTCTCTCTCTCTCTCTCTGAGGAAAACAGCTGCCGTGTCCACTAAGAAACGTTGCTTTTTTTCCCATCAGGCTGTTTTGCCTGTGATGGACAGCGGTCTGGTTTTGGCTTGGTTTGCGATGTAGAATGCAGTTTATGGGCCAGAACGCAGCGAGGGGTGGAGGCGAGGGCTGTTTCTGGCAGAGCCCCCCCTCCCCCCTCTCTCTGAATAGCGAGGTCGCCCATGACGGTGACCCTTCTGACCCCGTCGTGAGAGCATCAGGGGAGAAGACCTGGTCCTTAACCTCTGAGACCACTTTCTGCATCACCCTCACTGTTTTCTTTCAATTAGGAATTCACTTTCAGTGTTTGGCTTTCTGTTCGCTCGTCGTAAATGATACCTGTCATACTTTTTTATGTCCTGTTTTTTCTTTTACTTAGTGTTACACTTTTGCAACGTGCAATTTAGCTGATGCCGTCATCCAGAGAAAGTTGGAATAAGTGAACACTCGACTGTTGATCAACAATAAAAGCAATAACAGTGAGGAGGACGAGTATCCAAACATTGAAATGTTTAAATGTTAGTTGCTCCTAAAGTCAGTCTAATTAAATGGATAAATCAGGCCTTTAATCAAATTATTAGTTTGAAAAGAAATTTGATAAAAAAGTAGAGATTTCAAAAACCTACTGTTCTGTAGCTATAATAAAACATAATTTTCAGCTATTTTGATAATTAATAATTGTACTGGTTCAGGCTTAAATATTAATATTTCCTGGTTCTCATAGTCTTCTATTGCCATTAACTGAAAATGTTGGAGTTTAGGGCTGTTAGTCAGACAAAAGAAGCTATTCAAATACGTCTACTTGTTCTGTAATGAGCTTTATTTTTTTTATTTTTTATTTTTTCTATTTTCTGATATAAAATAGACCAAACAATTAATCAGTTTATTGAGAATAAAACTGGAATAAACACATTTTTTATAAAAATATCTTACCAAAACATTGATCATTCAGTAAGTCAACACAGCATTTATTGCCTACCTTCAAACTCAAACTGTCAGCTCGTTAACACTTTCACACGGCAATATCTTCTTAGCAGATTTTCAACCTTGAGCTGCCGTCGCCAGTTTTAAATGCTGAAATAACACTTTAGATCATCACCTCAGCTAAATCATTACATCTTCTTAGTTTCTACAAGGTGTCACAGTTGTCGTTTTTTAAGGGAGTAGAATGACATAAGGCCTCTGATCCTAACTCCCTTCTGTCTGTGTTGTCCAGGCCTTTGTCTCCCTCTCTCTGCTGTACTGGGCCCTGCAGAGCTTCTCTCAGCTGCTGAACATCAAAAAGAAGGCAGACTGAAACGGACTGAATTATTTCTGCTGAAGTCATAATTATTGACATAATTCCTTGTTGCACATTTTAATAACACTGTATTCAACCTTTATATGTGACATCCATTAGCTTGACTAACAGTTGTTTCAGCTTCTGCTTGATTCACGTTTTACTTTGTATGTATAACTGGTTATGGTCTGTTCATAACTGAAGCTTTATCATGTAAATTAGCTATATGATGCTGAAGGTGCTTTCTATTAAATGATACATTTTTGATAGATTTCAGTGTCATTTTAAAGTAGCACTGTTGTAACAGAGGTGCTAATTGAAGTTTGAATCAGTTCATATTTTTATGTTTTGCCTGAGCCACTGTGTAAACATTTTATTTCTTTTGCCTTTACTATGCAACATATACCTCTTATGAAACAAATGGTGCAAATACTGTTAATTTTACCTTCACACTCACACAACACTGTACAATATATTCAATTTCTCTTTTCAATAAAACATTTGTAATCTTGCTCTACATGTCTCCATTTTTGATTTCCCTATAAATGCGTATAGGCCCGACAGAATGTAAAAACAAAATGAAACCCTGGAGGGTGTGCGTCCTGTTGAAACGACAGATTTCGACAGATTCCCAAGCTCCAGATCTTGTGTGGGAGTGACAAACAGTCCACAGCAGATGGTGCTGTTATCGCCAGATAAATCAACGCCTTGTTTACAAGTGGCACCTGTGTTCAGCAAAACCTGTTAATCCATGTATTTGAGAGACATTAAGACTTATATTGAAGTATGGAGGTTGAGCAAAAACAATTGAAACAACTGCAAGCACATTAAGTTTGATGTTAAAAACATTATAATTTCCTTTAATATAACAATATCATTTAAGGTTTTTGGCTGAATCTAAAAAAATTGTATTTAATTTATATGTATTTTTATAAAGACATACAGACCAGACATGTGAGTTCTTAAATATTGCCTATGACTGACTTCTGTCTTACAAAATAATGCCTAAATACATAAACAATTGTGAGTTGATATACATTAAACATGCAGATGAAGATTTGTGTAAATATGACCAATTATGTACATGTTTTTATCACGTTGCTAAATTACATGACACATTCAGTTTGTGTGTTCACATATGCATCCAAAAATATGCATATGAGTGTGAAATTGTGTAGTAATCACTATGAAAACATCACAATATGCAGATTATGTAAATGCTGATGATTTTGTGAAAAACCGAAGGAGTAGAAGCGGCTGTGTGAATATGCATGATGTGTCATATTAACAAGTCTACAGATGGCATTACTCTATATGTGCAGAGCGCTCACAGTGGGTTCACTAAAATACCACACATCTAATGTGTTACCTAACAGATGCAGCTAATGTGTACTATTAAAATATCTTAAAGGTAAGGAAATACCAGATGCTCTAACAGGATCCTGTGTGTTGAAGTTATAAACATAATAATAATAGAGGAGGGCACATATATTTCCAGTGAGAAGTTTATCATCCATACCATCATTGGACACTGAAAATCTACTACAACCTGCAGGTGAACTGAATCACTTCAATGTGCTGCTACTCTCAATGTCTCAATCAGTGACTGTTAATGATTTCCACCTGCTGTGACATCACTGATAAGGGTGTGGTCAACATGCTCATGAGGGGGTCACAGAGGACACATTTTTATACTCTTTTATTTTTGTTGGTTTACATTTTTTAATGAAATCCACCTTGTGTGTGTGTGTTTTTTTTTAAATGTAATATAATATTCATAGGTATGTTTTTATGTATTTCACTGTATAATCACCTGTATATAGGAATTGTTATGTTTTTGTTACCTTAGAATGAGCTGTTTTATCTACAGACGCTGCGGTTCGCCTTACATGAACACGTTGAACCTCCAGGTTTCTGCGGTGGCCCAGAAGGGACAAATGAAACACTGACTGAAGGTAGGGCCTTACGCAGGCTTCACAGCCCATTCTCATTCCAAGGTCCGCAAATACAAACGCCAGCAGTGTTCAGTTACATGCATTCTGCAACTTCACCACTAGATGTCACTAAATCCCACACGCAGGTCCTTTAAGTCTTATATTATTATATTATGTGCAGTCAACTAACTATATTACCTCCTTGATTTTTGATATATCATTATCTACAGTCAGTTTAGTATAACAATATTAATCCTGACCTATTATTGTGTTGTTTCTAAATGCTGCTGCTGTGCTCACATTCTTTGCTTTTTTAACGATCTGTTGGGTTATTGAAGCGATCCAACAACAACCAGGAGCTTACACATTGATCCCACTGTAGAAGGATGTGGCCTTCACATTTACATGAAATCCTTGTAATAGGCAGTGAGGGAATCCTGCCCCGGGGTCTCGCTTAATGGAACGAGGAAATGTCGCTCAAGAAAGTCGCTCAATGAGATAGTCAATGAGAATTAGATCTCGCAGGGCCCGCTCTAATGTAAAAGGGACCAAAAACAAACCAACAGTCATTTTATCCTTGGCAGCGCCATGGATGCTTTCTAATAGCCTCTGGGTCATTTGTGTGATCAATCAAATTGATTAAGTTTGCCATTTTTTTTATTAATAATTAGACTGCCTGTACACAAATGTATCTTAATGACTTTTTGGTTTTTAAAGTTATAAGCTCGGAACACTTGTTCAGACTGAAAATAATACATTATTTTTCATGTTTTCTCTAATTACATATGTGATACCTAAAGGATAAAGTAAGTATTCGTTCTATTGTCTTAATTATTCTGTCTCTCAATACTTTCTCTGACCTGTCTGTGACACTCATCCGACATTTGTTCCAACTTTTTAAAAATCAGTCTTTGAATATATAGTGCCTTTTTTTTTTTTTAAAGGCTGCTCACTGTAGTTTTTAGCAAACAGCAACAGGATGGTGTGTGTGAGATTGATTATACAGTGTGTGTGTGTGTGTGTGTGTGTGTGTGTGTGTGTTACGGTCATTGCCGTTAGCCTGGTTAATGTACTGTTTATGAGGTCATTCCTGTGGTCCAGATCTCTTACATCTTGATAGAGCCTTGCAGTGTCCCTCCTAGGATTGGTCCGCCTCTCTATGGATTCCTCCGTATCGATTGGCCTGTCATCCTCAAATCGTCCATCAGTGTCACTTGCTGAGTCTCCCACTCCCGTGGCTGATTGCTCCGACCAAGGAATGCTGTGTGGAACGGACATAGATATATAATAGAACTAGATCGAGCATCGCCGCTCAGCCTTGCTTCCAATTTTGGCCAGTGGTCACTTGTGGCATTGTCATTGTGAGTATGTTACCATGCTAGTGTTAGCATTCAGTATCACAGAGCAGCAGTGTTGGGCAGTAATGTATTACAGTATTAATATTACAGTAATGATATTACTTTCCCCAGTAACTAGTAGTGTAATTAATTGCTAAAGAAATGTCAGTAATAATATTACAAATAATTTGTTACAACCTTACTTTTGTTATCACACCTCTACTGAGTTGAAATCCAACAATCCAATCACATCTTTGGATACATTTTTGTAATCGTGGAGGAAACTAGCGTGGAAGATGGAAACGCTTATATTCAGAAGCTGAAAATACTCATTAGTTGGATTTTAACAAACAAAACTGGATTTTAATCATCATAAATCTAATTTTGGAGGTAAAGGACACAATTCCCAATTCTGTAATGAGTGGCCATTTAAATGTAATATAGAGTAATAGGGGGTAATAATAATGTGGAGGGTAATAAAAGTTAATAATACTATTTTGAGAAGAATAAATTAGTAATTTATTTATATTGAGTAACTAGCCCAACACTGCAGAGCAACTAGCATGGCTGTAGACTTTTAGTCTTGTTAACAGACAATAATTGAGCTCTATAGCACAGAGGAATAAGATATCAGGCTTTGGATACGAAGATAACATGTGAATAACAAAGTAACATAATAGTATAATATCAACACAAATACACAGAGAACACTCACATTGTCCAACAATAAAAAACACAAATCACTCAAAAATGAAGAAATGGAATTCACTGTCAAGAAGATAATGGAAACGTTAATGAATTGAAGTATTCCTCTCCTGTTTTCCTTCACACATCAGAGAAAGGCAAATGAATGCAGCTCCTCTGCTGCTCCCCATGAGATGTGAATAAAGATAATCGCATGCCAGTTCGATATCATCACAGCCCTTGTGTTGGCGTAAGAATGTGTTCTGCTCACTGGGTCGAGGAATAATCACATCAGCAGTGGTCAGGAAAACTTACGAACGCCTGAATGCACCAGACAACTCCACCAACATCACCTTTGATGTTCTGGCGTCTGCCACAATACCTGGAGTAAATGTGTGGTTGTGTTTCACTCATTAGTACACCTGGTATCAATGCAGCTACAACATTTGAAAGCATCTTCATGACCTGAAAAAACAGGGTCGTTTGTGAGAACCAGTCAGGATGAGTTTGAGGGACTACAGGGTGTCATGGATTACATTTATATTTACTCTGTACACATTGAATTGACACAGTCTTTTTCAAACAGTTATATATTGATCCATAGGGATACAAATGGTTTAATACTGATAGATAGGAAAATAATATTTAAATATCCCCTCCAGACATGACAGGATTTTACAGTTTATTTATTCTTTATCACAACAATCACCGCATAGTAGTAGCAGAGTACAAATATGGCATTCACATTACAAAGTAATCTACCTGGATTGTGGGCTTGCATGTGTTTGATCAGTGCCTTGCTGAATGTCGTCACATTTCAGTCCAGAAATGGTTAATCCAGGTTCTACTTTTGAGGCAGTGGTGTCAATGCAAGGACCTCCACTGCCACCATGGACTAGCCTCATTCAAAGGAATGAAGAGGGCTGCATTTATACTCGCAGACCTAAAGTCAGTCTGACCGAACTCCTACATCAGGGCTCAGGGACTGACATGATACACATCTACAGGACGTCAGCAGTTGCTGGTGGTAACATGTGGTTAAAGTCAGCAATGCGGCAGTAACAGTAGAAGATGAAGAAGAGCACCCGACGTTTGGGTGGGAAAGTTTGAATGTCAAAACAACCCCACAGGGTGCCCTAAACCAAAGCACATAATGACCACCCGAGCTGACAAGATAAAGAATCCAGCTAAAGAAACTCAAACTTTATGAACAGAACTCCCAAAGAAAAGCACATCAGTCCTACCCTTGCTGTTTGGTTGACAGGCGATTTCTGTTAAGTGCAGTGCAAAAAACTGTGCATTGCAGCAATGAGCAGCAAAGATGGAAACAATAAAAAAGACATTTAGCAGATTATCTGTTTACAGTCTACAGATATGGGTTTTATCTTTGTATAAACTTCACACATCAAACATTGTATTTGTCTGTGTGGCTCCTTCTTTTTTCTCCTCTTTTCCTCATTACTTGGAAGATGGGAAGAGGGAACAAATGTGATTTGCTCCCTCAGTGCCACAGAACGTTACAATGACTCATGCTCTGATAATATAGTTCAGT